CCCCCCAATGCTGCCCTCCACAGGATCCACCCCCCAAACCTCCAGGTATTTCCCTCCTTAGAGCTGGCAACCCTACTTTCCCCTCAGTGCCTGTTGGTAGGCAGCTAAGCTTGGTCCTGTCACCTACTTTGGCCTTTGGGAGAAAACACATTGGGGCCAGTCCTGATAGGGTTGCCAACTCCAGATGGGAAATTCCTGGAGATTTGAGGGATGGAGCCTGAAGAGGGCGAGGTCTGAGGAGGGGTGGGACCTCAGACAGGTACAATGCCATAGACGCCACCCTCAAAACCAGTCATGGGGAACCTCATGGGGAACCATTGTTGCCAATCTCCAGGTGAGGGCTGGAGAGCACTCAGAATTACAACTGCTCTGCAGAAGGGAGGGCAGAAGTCAGCTGAAGTCAAAGGGGCAGATAATGGTAGGTTGATGATTAGCTGGGAAGGAGACAGGGTTGCCAACTCCAGGCTGGCAAATTCCTGGGGATTTGAGGGGTGGAGCCTGGAGAGGGTGGGGTTTGCAGAGGGGTGGGACCTCAGACAGGTAGAAGGCCATAGACTCCACCCTCCAAACCAGCCATTTCGTCCAGGGTAACAATTGTTGCCAATCTCCAGGTGAGGGCTACAGATCACTCAAAATTACAACTGCTCTTCAGGTAGCAGAGATCAGTTCCTCTGGAGAAAACAGTGGACTCTGTCATTATACCCTGCTGAGGTCACCACAGCAAATTGACACTGTTTGCCCAAAGCCACAGCACTCCCCCAGAGCCTCTTTCTAGATCCCGTTGTATTTATTTCCACAACGGGCTTTATTCCTAGTGTTTTATATTTAAAATAGCTTTCATTTCAACCCATGTAAAAATCCTCCAGAATCAGTCACACTTTCAGTAATTTCTTTTATCCATGAAATGTAATTGGACACACGGGTGTAAGCCCCATATTTTCCTGCTGTAGCACAACCTTCCCCCCAGCTGACAATTCCCAGGAGAAACCAAGTATTGCGATAAAGTACAGCAAAAGGTCCCCCACTGTCACCTTTACAAGAATCTTGAGTTGCTTCAGGATAACCTGCACAGAACATGTTGTCAGTAATGAGTTTTTCTGTGGATTGTTCGCAAGTATCCATGCTCACCACAGGCAGCTTGACTCTCAGGAGAAAGCGGGTTGACCGCCCCTTGACATGAGTACTGCCCCATCCACTCACTGTTCCTACTGTCCCTTTTTCTGTCAGTAAAGTAGACAGGTTCGGGTTGGGAAGACAAATCGACAGTACATGCTGGCTGAAAACAACAGGGCTGGTCAGCTGAATCAAAGCAATGTCATTGTTGAAGTTTTCTGGGTCATACTGGGAGTGCTGCCAGAATTGACGCACTCTAACTTTTTGTTCATTTTTTTCTCGCTGGTGCTTGTCAAAGTCTCCTGAGAAACGAAAGTATAACAAATTAACACCTTTGTAACTAGTTATAGTGAGGGGAAAGGAATGAAAGATGGGTTTTAAAAAATTACCTCATGCAGAAAAGGGGGGAAAGCCCCCCAAATACCACTAAAATGTTTGCTATTTAAATCTAGCATGCTTAACATCGAACTCTCTCTTCATCATGGAATGGCTAATGATGTTTATGACTCCATGGCACTCACCAACAGTAACCTGATATGGGGCAACAGTATCAAGGCAATGTGCTGCAGTGAGTACCCATTGACTGCCGATTAAGCTGCCTCCACAATAGCCATAACCTCTCTTATTTTGGATCAGTACCTAAGGAAGAAAAAGCAGACCTTGTTAAAGTCAATTTTAATACAAGGAACAATTACCTAGCTAGGGCACAAAAGCAGAGGAAATAACTAACAGGTAAGCAGCTATGTGGGATACATTTATAGATGAGTATCATATACTTACAGTTCAGTTTGTTGTTACTGAAATACAAAAAGGGTTATAGAAAGATATTGTGATGTGTGACAATACACGTATTGAGAGTTGTGCCCACAGTACCACCTCAGTTTCAATTTCTTTAGGCTTTATTGGCATATATCAAGTTATCCATACAGACAATAAGCAAATATAGAGGTAACAAGGGTAATTTAACTATAAGCAGTTAAACAATTTTCAGTTGGTCCTTGATTACCAGAGCAGCTCCACATAGGATACACAGAGGTTCCAGTAGTGGCATGATGACAAATCATTGTTCCTTGGCCCACCTATAATGGCCTGAACCCAAACTAGAGCCTGGCACAGCTACCATCAGTCTTTGAGAATGAAGCTGTGTCACTCAAGGAGAGCTCATGAGGAGTTACTTCAGGATGGTTAAGAGCTTTTTTTTGTTCCTTAAAGAGCCAGCCTGATGCAGAGTCCTGGATAATTCAAAAGCTTGGATACTTTTTTATTGGTCTTAATAAAAGATATGGCTTTTATTTTGGGCTTTTACTTTACATCAGCAAAACTACTTGCAATCTCTTGCATAAATGGAGTGTGAACTAAGGCAATGTTGTCAGAACTAAAGAAAAATCTCTTTACCTGCCAGGGACAGTCTCCTGGGCGACAGAAGGAGCCACCAATTATCCTTGAATCATCATCTTCATCAGTGTAATTTATGTTTAGCCATGTGTGAAGATCCGCTTCTGTGAGGTTCCTTTCAGTCTCTTTAACACCGTCTTCCTCATTCTCTTCCTCTGTTGTAGTCTGGTTCCATTCTACCAAGGCCTGAACTAATGTCTGGTTCCAACTGGACAAGTTCTCCTGAGACAATGTTTGGTTCATCCCATCCCTAGCCCAAGCATTAGTTTGGTTGTGCCCAAAAGGTTCTTCTTCAGATCCTTCTTCATAAGAGCGTGTAGATACTTTAACCAACCCACATGGAAAATGATCTTAAAGGGGGAAAAGTTAGACAAATCCATTTACTTTAAGGTAGGCTATTTATTTATTTATTTATTTATTTATTTATTTATTAGACTTATATCCCACCCTCACCCGTGGGATGTCATAGATCTCAAGACTTTTATTAGTAAATTATCTGGTTTCCTGAAATGGGAAAAGTTGCAATGAACTTAAGCAATCAGTGTAACCTAAGAGAGAATGTCCCCCTCAACTGATCACTGAGAAAAAATTAAAGATAAAAAACTTACATGCAGATTTATGCCTGATTGTATAAAAAGCATTAATGTCAGAATTTATTGAGGCATGCAGATAAATTAAGATACTATTGGTTGACTTATACCTCTTTTATCACATATTTATATCAGTGAAAATAATAGTATGGATTTAGCGTAAAAATGATTCATATGCCAATGCTCTATACGCAAAATCCAATTTTTCACAGATCTATCTGACAGCCTTATTTCACCTTTTATAGTATGACATTTTAGTCAAAAGTGCCACAGTCCAGATCCTTTTGTTCCAATCCATTATCAATGGTGGATCCTTTCATTTCCAAATACTTGCTATACATATGCTTGCTGCAGTCAACAAAGATGTGACCAGTTTTAATTCCCAGTTCCAATTCTTTTAAAAATGCTTAAAGAAGAACCTTTGACTCCAGTGGTATTTCCTACACAATAATAACTTGAGACAATTCTAAAATCTTTTCCCAAAAATGGATAATCCAAAATATAGTCATTTGATTTGCATTCAAAGTCATTTGATTTGCATTCTATCTAAACCTCAAATAAGTTAGATACCATCTTAACTGAAGCTTATAAAAGCTTTCCTTCGTATATACATTTATTACATTTTTGGAGATGTGTTCCAAATCCAGTACATTTGTATTGTAAAAGGGGATATCCATTGGGCTGGATTTAGTGGTCTATTTGCACAAGGATAGTAGATCTTCCCTACTTGCTTGTTCTCCTAGAAGCCATTGCCATTCCAACCCTGGGAGTGCTGATTCCTGCAGTTGTGGGGTCTTGTGATACAAGAGAAGGGGATGATACTGCCCTCCCTGTCTCTGCAGCCTTCTGACCCTTGTGCCCATTAGCCCACAGGGTACTGTGATCCCAGGAATCAGCTTTCCTGGTTTTGGAAATGGCATGTACTGGGATGCGAAAGCAGGGAAAATCTAAGACAGCACCTTCTGCCAGATCCAACTCAATATTTACCTTATTTACTCTTATAATCTTACTAGCAGAAAAGCCCGTTGTGAAACCGATACAACGGGATCTAGAAAGATGTGGTCTGTAACGAACGCATAGGCTGGATGGTGATAAGGTAAACAGTAGTGGGTGAGGGTGGGAGGGGGGTGGGGGAACGGCGGCGGCGGCCGGAGGCCTCTGCATCCCGTTGCTGGCCCTGGAGTGAGTTGGGGGGAAGGGACCCGGCCTCCAGTTGCCGGCCCAGGAGTGGGTGGTGGGGGAGGGGAAGGGAGCGGGGGACCAGAGGCTTCTGCCTCCTGTCTCCGGTCCTGGAGTGGGGGGGTGGAAACGGACCCAGCGGCCGGAGGCTTGCACCTCCAGTTGCCGGCCCTGGAGTGGGTGGGGTTGGGTGGGGGGAATCGGACCCGGCGGCCGGATGTCGGCCCTGAAGTGGGTGGGGGTGGGAGAGAAAACGGGCCCCTTTTGGAGGCCTCTGCCTTGCCGGCCCTG